GCTGTGGCGGCGTCCCATATAAAGTGGAGGAAGATGGGCACGGATGTTAGCCCAGGGCCAATCTTCCTCGGCAAAAAAAGAGGAAGACTGGCAGATGCTAGCATAGGGCTGATCTCCTCACAAGAAAAAAAAAATGTTCTTTAAAACAGTATGAAATACTGCATATAAAAATTTTTAAAATAGCCCATAAACAACGCTCTCCTTAACATTAAGAAAATATCTTAATAATTCTCTAATGCAGACTTTAATTTTATCGTTCAGGCAAAAATCTAACATCAAGTTCAACTTCTTTTTTATATTATTTCCCACTCCGCCACCAATATCAAGTCAAAATTAACCTTTTCTCCCAGTCTCTGCTACCACTCTTTACACCTCTACCTTATACTAGTGTTCATTAATTTAAAAAAAAAAAAAAAAAAAAAACATTTACTGAGCACATACTACCATGTACTAAGACAGGCACTGAGGCTCCAGGATCAAAAACAGACATGGACTTGCCCTCATGGAGCTTACAATCTAGCTATCTCATGAATAACTATATAATTTAATAAGTGCTGGCCAGAAAATGGACAGAAAACACAGGGTCCTGAGCGCATATAATAAATGGACCTAACTTTGGGAAATCAGGAAAGGCCTCCTGGAGGAAGTGACTTGAGACTCATTTGTTTTTTTTTTTCTGAGGAAGATTCGCCCTGTGCTAACATCTGTTGCCAATCCTCCTCTTTTTTTTCTAGAGGAAGACTGGCCCTGAGCTAACATCTGCGCCAGTCTTCCTCTACTTTGTGTATGTGAGACACCGCCACAGCATGGCTGGTGCGTGATATAGGTCCACACCCGGGATCTGAACCCGTGAACCCTGGCCGCTACAGTAGAAGGTGCAGAACTTTAACCACTCGGCCACAGGGCCAGCCCCAGAGACCTATTTGTTTTTTAGGAAGACAACCTGAGCTGCTGTATAAAGAACAGTTTGGAAGGAGTTAGAGTCAGAAGGAGCAAGACTACTGGAAAGTATTGAAGTCATTAAGAGATGACAGTGGAGTGGACTAAGGGTGGTGACAGTGAAGATGGAGAGAAATGGCAAAATTTGAAATTGATTTTGAAGAGAGAATGATAGGACTGGAATATGCAGAGTGAGGGAAAGGGAGGAATCAAGTGTGACCATCAGGTTTGCCACACAAGCAACCACAAGTTCAGAAGCATCATTTAGTAAGACAGGAATGGCATGGAGACAGGCGCATCAAGAATTCACTTTTAGGGGGCTGGCCCCATGGCCTAGTGGTAAGTTTGGCATGCTCCACTTCAACAGCCTGGGTTCACGGGTTCGGTTCCCAGCTGTGGACCTGCACCACTCAGCAAGACATGCTGTGGCGGTGACCCACATACAAAATAGAGGAAGATTGGCACAGATGTTAGCTCAGGAGGAATCTTACTCAGCAAAAGAAAAAATTCACTTTTAGATACTAGTTTAAGATGCCCGGGTGACAGTTAAGTAGAGATGTGAAGTACGTAAATAAATATGAGTCTGGCACTTAGAAAAAAGGTCTGGGCTGAAGATCCAAATTTGGAATGACTTAGTGTTACAGGTTGTACTTTAAAGCCAGCAGAGATGATAAGAATCCATTCGGTAAAAGAGTAAGAAAAGAAACGGGCCTAGGGCTAAGCTCAGATGAAGTATAGACATTTAACGAGCACCTACAACGTAATGGGCACTGTTATAAAATCAATGAGAAAAAGATCAGCAACCTAAAATAAAAATGGGAAAAAGAATACAAGCAAGTCACAGAAAGAGTTAATACAAATGTTTTCAAAGTTTTGAAAAAATGTGTGGTTTACCTTAAAAGAAATGTAAATTAAAACTTCAATAAAATAGGACTTTTAACATAAAACTGAAAAAGACTTAAAAAAATTAACACTGCATTAGTGAGGGTGTGAGTGAGTTAGCCGTCTCATACATAAGTAGAGTGTAAACCGGTACAATCTTCTGGAGGGCAATTTGATAGTTCTTATCAAGACAAAAATTACACGTCTTTTGACCAAGGAATGCTACTTCTATTAATTTAGTCTACAGACATATTTACACATGTACAAAAAATATAAGAATAATCAATGCAGTAGTGCTGGTAGTAGTAGAAAAATGGAAACAGCTTATGTGTCCAAACACCTGGTTAAATAAATTACAGTAAAAGCAAACAATGGGGTATCAACTGTAAAAAGCAAGAGGTAGATCTATATGTACTTACATAGATTGATCTCTAAGATCAGGTACGACAAAGAAAGCAAGGGGCTGGAGTGTGTTTAGTATACTATTTATATAAAAAAGGAGGTTAGAAGATACATACATATGCTGGTACATGCATATAAAATATCTGAACAGCTATCTAAGAAACTGTTAGCAGTGGTTGTTTCTGAGGTGAACCGGGGCATTAGGTAACAGAATTGGAGGAAGATTTACTTTTTGTGGTAGGCAGAATAATGCCCTCCCTCCCAAAGATGTCCGTGCCCTAATTCCCTCAGACCTGTGAATATATCCCTATGCACAGCAAAAGGGACTTTGCAGATGGGATCAAAGATCTTGAGATGGGGAGATTATCTTGGATTATCCACATGGGCCCAATATAACCACAAGGGTCTTTATAAGAGGGAGGCAAGAGGATCACTGTCAAGAGGATCACTGGCCTTCTCTAGAGGAAGATTTGAGGATGCTACACTGCTGGCTTTGAAGATGGAGGAAGGGGCCAAGAGCCAAGGAAGGTAGGCAACCTCTATAAACTGGAAAAAGCAAGGAAAGAGATGTTTCACTAGAGCCTCTCGAAGGAAGTCAGCCCTGCCAACACCTTGATTTAAACTCAGTAAGACTCATATTTGGAATTCTGATCTCCAGAAATCTAAGAGATTACATCTGTATTGTTTTAAGCCATCATCTTGTATTAAGTTTTCACAGCAGTAATAGGAAATTAACACACCTTTCATGGACAACTATTTTTTACTGTTTTTTTTTAAACCATATACATGTAATATTATTCCAAAAAAGGTTGGTACACTAGGTAGATTTTCATTAACGTTTTCTTTAGTTTTACTAACTTTCAGGAGCAAGTTTTTAGTAGCAGGTAATCATTTTAATATTTACTAAGCTTACAGACATAAAAACAAGACACATAGACCAACAGAACAGAATTTAGAGTCCAGAAATAAACCCATGCATATATGGCCAACTAATATTTGACAAGGGAACCAAGAATGCTCAGTGGAGAAAAGACAGTCTCTTCAATAAATGGTGCTGGGAAAACTGGACATGCAAAAGAATCAGACTGGACCCCTATCTTACACCACTTGCAAAAATTCACTCAAAATGGATTAAAGATTTAAATATAAGGCCTAAAACCATAAAACTCTTGGGAGAAAACACAGGAAAAAAGCTCTTTGACATTGACTTTGGCAATGATTTTTTGAATCTAACACCAAAAGCAAAAGCAACAAAAGCAAAAATAAATAAGTGGGACTACATCAAACTAAAAACCTTCTGCACAGCAAAAGCAACAGTAAACAAAATGAAAAGGCAACCCTCAGTATGAGAAAAAATATCTGCAAACCATATATCTGGTAAGGAGTTAATATCCAAAATATATAAGGAATTCATACAACTCAGCAGGAATAATAACAATCCAATTAAAAAATAGAGGACCTGAACAGACATTTTTCCAAAGAAGATATACAAATTGCCAACAAGTACATGAAAAGAGGCTCAACATCACTAACAGGGAAATGCCAATCAAAATCACAAGGAAATATCACCTCACACCTGTTAGAATGGTTATTATCAAAAAGACAAGAGATAAACGCTGGAGAGGATGTAGAGAAAAGGGAACCCTTGTGGAACCCTTGTGAACTACTGGTGGGGATGTAAATTGGTACAGCCACTACTGAAAACAATATAGAAGTTCCTCAAAAAATTAAAAGTAGAATTACCATATGATCCAGCAATTCCACTTCAGCAGAAATACCTGAAAGAAATGAAATCACTATCTTGAAGAGTTATCCACACCCCCATGTTCACTGCAGCATTATTTACAACAGCCAAGACATATGTAAACACTCTAAGTGTCCACTGACAGATGAATAGTAAAGAAAATGTGGTGTGTACATATATATATACACACACACACACACACACACACACACACACTAGAATATTATTCAGAAACAACAAATAGCTTTGGAATCAAACATAATGGTAACTATACAAAAAAGCAAGAGAATTATAAATACAGAATTTAGATACTCTCTACCACTGAGGTGCTCCTGAAGATTACAGGTTCAAGGAGGGGAGCACAGTGGCTTTCAAAAAGCTATGTTATGTTGTATTCCTTCAACCAGATAATGGATAAACGAGAGTTCCTTATACTGCTCATCTTTCTATTTAAGTGTGTTATATACACACTCTGGAGCATCTACTCAATTTTTAAGAAATCACAACAAAACTGTTTCAGCGCCGAGGCGGGAACGGGGGCGTGGAGGCAGCATGTGGGGCCGGAGTGAGTCAGAGAGGGGCGGTGAATAGACGCCGAGAAGAGGCGACTGAGTCCACGCAGTGTACACCGGCAGGAGGGGGCAGAGGTGTGCGGAAGCAGCGTTGTCACTAGTTTTGCCGCCCCCCCGGGCCCCCCCCCCCCGGGGACTAGCGAGAAAATGTCAAGTTGTGGACTTTCCCCCGAGGGCGCAGCGGCCGGGAAGAAGTCAGGCACAAGGCGAGAAGCGGCAGGGTGCCCTGTGCGCACTCAGAACTCAGAAGCTCAACTTGAGGGTCGGCAAGCGGGGCCGGGACCCGCCTCCGGGCGGCCTCGCCCCTCGCCCCGCAGCCCCGCACCCCGGTGTGCCGCCCAGTACAACCACCTCGCGTCCTCCCCCTCCCAGCTTCCCAGGACCGGCCCCTCCCCCCTCCCTGCGGGACAAGAGCCTTCCAACGAAGCAAACGAGTTCAAGGGAGCGGGAGGGGGGCTCACCATGGCGACGTCCTCGCGGCCCCGGGGAACCTCCGAACTCCGGCAACCTCAACACCAGCCGCGGCAGCAACTCAGCGGGCGGCTCCAGCCCAAACACACGTGGGGTCGAAGACGCTGGGGCGGAGCAACCGGAAAGGGAGGGGCGAGTACGGTTCTCTGAAACGTCCCCGGGAACCGAGACCGGCTCTTTTTCGCCCGTGTTGGACTTTTCAGCCCCATGTCAGCGGGCAGCCTCCCTGCGTGCTCCCGAGGCGCGGCGAGAGGAGGGTGAGTTTGGCCCCGCGCCGAGTGCTCTGCCGGCGACGCTGGGGCTCCGGGCCAGTGGCGTCCGAGGCCTGGACTCGGATTTTGGGCATCTGCCCAGTGCACAGCTCCAGAGCTGAACAAGGCTCTCCTTTTGGGGGCTCCTGCCTCGCAGAGGCTGGCGCTTCCCAGGAGGGCTGCTTGGAGGAGGCCCGCGTCCTGATGAGGCGAATGGCCCTGCCATCTGCTCCTCCCTGTACCAGATTGCTTGAGCAAGGCTTTCCCTGCAGAGTCTTAGTTTCTTCATCCGTAAAGGCCACTCCCACGTGTTCAAGGTCCCTTACAACTCAGTTTTTCTGTGTTCTTCTCACAATGTGTAAGAGTTTCTGTTTCATGTATGCTAGTTAGAATTGCATAAACAATATATTCATTCAACAAATATTTATAGGTTGCCTGCTGTGTGCCAGGCATTGGGGATATTCTGACAATATACCTGACCTCACCCAGCTCATAATCCTGTTCCCCAAGAAAAAAATAGCTATAACGTAAACAGTAGATATTTATTTGGGCAATTAGAATTGCAATTCCAGAGACAGATTTATGCAGAAACCCAAATTGTACTCTGAGGAAGAAGAGGAGACAGGGATTTATAAAGGCAAAAAAGAAATTTACACAGGCTGTTTTGCAAAATTTCTGATTGGTGCTGGCAACAACTGTTACTTCTTGGCTATAAGTGATTGGTTGCTAAGGCCATCTCTAAGGCAGTTAAGTTCTTATCTACCGGAGTAAGCATATTTCTTGAAAGAAGGTCAAGATGACAACAGTGAAGCACGGTTCAAAAGTTACGTTCCTTCTGGGTAGAGATGTAGTGTGCCTACATAAGCCCCATTTCCTTAATGGCCTCCCAGCTCCATTTTAGAAGCCTTGACATATGTTATGCCATTTTGTTATGCTGTCTAAAATCCAGTAGGACATGTTAAAAAAATAAATATTATTTCAAATAGGATAAGTACTCTGAAGAAAATAAAGCTGGTGGGGTTGGCAGGAAAGCTGTTTCACACACAGCAGTTTCTGAAACCCTCTTTTGGGAGTGATAGTTGAGCAGAGACCTATGTTAAAGAAAAAAATTATTCAAGACACTTGTTAAGGAATGGTAAGGCAGACTTTTTTCAGGAGGGGCCATTACCCTGGGTATAGGGATCGCTGCCATGGAGTCTTGCAGTTGAGGAGAGAGATAGGGCTCAACTCCAAATGCAGCATGGGCAAGTGGGAATTTATAGCCAAGGAGCAAGGTTGGGGTTAGTGGATGGAAAATTACTGAGAGGAAACATCAGGGGTAAAAGGACATTCTGACTAAACCAACCTAACAAAATTTTTGCTGAAGGCAGGCCAGGGTGATCAGACATCACTAGGAAGATGGTGGAGGATCAGGAACCTGATTGGATATAGATATGGAGGTTGACTAGAAATGGAGGATTGAGGATTCTGGCTAAATTGACTTTCTTGCTAAAATTGGACAATGCAGAAAAGAACAGGAGGTCAAAAAGTACAGGCCTACTTGAAAAAGAGTTCAGGGAAACCTGAGTAAAGTTTGGTCAAGGAGAGAATCTTGGCACCTGAAACCATGCATGGGAAGAAGCTACAGGCAAGGGTGAAGTTAGGTGTGCCTACATATGTGTGTGCGGGTATGTGTATTTAACCAACCAATGTGTCCATTTTTAAAAATAGATTAAATTGTAAACAAGAATGTGTGACCAGAAGGTCCGTGAATCTAGGGGCAAGGCATTTTCACATGGCTTTTAAGTGCGTAAAAGTGCATTCTGTGTGGATCTACACAATGAAAGTCACATATGCAGTCTATACTGTGGAGACCTTACTCTATTGAGGACTCCAATTAATCAGAATGTTTACACCCTACTTCTATACTCTAACCATTTCCTGGGAAGCCAACTTACATCCATCCTAACCCATTCTCTGAGTCTGGCCCGGTGCAAGTCAGCTCCCTGAGTTCTATGTTACTGCAAATCCAGTAAGCATTAAATCCTCATTCTGGCTGTTTCAGCTGTTACTAATTGCTCTACTGATCACAACATCCCTACCTGCTCCTACCCTGTTTCTAAATTTCAAATTGCCAACAACTCAACAAGACATATATCCTAAATTTTCGTTTTATTTTAGTTTGGGTTTTGAAAATACAAGACTTTATATTTTCCCCATTCAGATTCAACCCCTAAATAATATTGATTATGGGCAAGGTACAATATTCAAAATACACTGTAGCAAATGCACAAATGAGTTATACAAAGTAAAAGTAAAAATAACAATGATGACTAATACTTGGTCATAATTTAATGAGTACATGCACCACTGTGATAAGCAGAATTAATCCCCTCTCTCCTCCTCTGCAATCCAACACCCCTGCCACCCAATGACCACTGTAGATAGTTTGGAGACATCTTTAAAGATATTTTCCTGTCTTTTAACAAATATACAGAGATGTGTGTGTGCGCGTATAATGGCTAAATATTTATTAACATTAGATATTGATACAATAAGAATACATGCTTAATTTCTAAGGTAACCATTAAAAGAGTAGAAACAGGGTACATAATTCTGAACAGGATACAAACAAATAGAGAATATGAATGGAATGATAAAAAAACCACTTGGGGGGGCTGGTCCGGTGGTGTAGCAGTTAAGTTCATGCATTCTGCTTCAGCTGCCTGGGGTTCGCTGGTTTGGATCCTGAGCATGGACCTACTCACCGCTCATCAAGCCAGGCTGAGGCAGTGTCCCACATAGAAGAACAAGAAGGACCTACAATTAGGATATACAACTATCTACTGGGGCTATGGGGAGAAAAAGGAAAAAGAGGAAGATTGGCAACAGTTGTTAGCTCAGGGCCAATCTTCCTAAAAAAAAAAAAAACACTTGGATCATTCAAATCAAGGAAATAAAGGGAAAAAAAGAAGCATAGGATAGTAGGGAAAATAGAAAACAAAAATATGGTGGGAGATTTAATTTCATATAATAATAATTATGGACTAAGTGCACCCAATTAAAAAATAAATGTCAGATTGGATTTAAAACATACACTGTGTCCATTTATGAGATACATCTAAAATATAATGAAACAGAAAAATTAAAAAACAAAGATGGAAAGAGTAATGCTAAGCAAATACTAACCAAAAGAATGTCAGTATAGATATATTAATGCTCTGCAAAGTAGATTATAAGTCAAAAAATGTGGTAGATAGAAAAGATCACCTCATAATAATAAAATGTTTCCATTTTAAATGTATGTGCAGTTAGTAAATGTATGTGCAGTTAGTAATATAGCTCCAAAAATATAATGGAACACTGATAAAATTTCAAGAAGTAGAAAAACCAACTGCCTTGGTGGTTTTTTAGTAATTAATAGAACCTTTTTTAGTAATTAATAGAACAAGCTGATAAAATATTAAAAATGATTTAGAAGACTTACCTATAACACAACTTGACCTAACAGATCTATTTAGAATAGTTTCCAAGAATATATGTATTTTCAAATATATATGGAAGTGTTAACAAAAATGACCACATATTGGGCCAGAAAGCAAGTCTAAACAAATTTGAAAAGATTGAAATTCTACAGAACGTGCTCTCTAACCACCATGCAATTAAACTAGAAATCAACAAGAAGATAGCCAGATTCCCAAATATTTAGAAATGTAATTAAGAATCATACTTCTAAGTAAGTCATGGTTAAAGAAGAAATCATAGCAAAAATTAGAAAATATTTTGGGCTGGACTATAAAAACAAATTCTTAGAAATATATAACCTATCAAGACCAACACAGAGGAATAGAAAACTTGAATAGCCCCATAATCATTTTAAAAAATGGTTACTCAAATATCTTCTCACGATAAAATGACAATCAAGATTTTTTTAGATTTTATAAATATATAGAAACAGAAATAGAACAGCACTTCCTTAACATGATAAAAACGTGGATTAGCAATAGTGATAGTGGGTATCATTGTCTTATTCCTGACCTCAAAGTGGGTATCATTGTCTTATTCCTGACCTCAAAGAGCAAGCTTTGGTTGAACCACTTTGGAAAACCACTTTGGCATTATCTAGAAACTTGAAATGTGTACTTCCTCCAACTCTGAGCATATACCCTAGGAGCTCCAGCTCTCATATGTATACGAATACGTATACAAAAATATTCATAACAATGTTGTTCATAATAGCCTAAACTAGGAAAAACTAATTGTTCATTAACAAGAGAATAGAAAAGTAAATTGTGGTAAATTCTATATAGTAATGAAATAAACAAACTCCAACTATGCTAAGGATAAATTTTTACTCATAATGTAAAAGAAGTAATAGACAAAAGGATGCATACAGTATAATTCCATTTATGCAAAGTTCAAACACAGGCAAAATGAGCTACACTACATTTTTTACAGATACTTTCACAAGTGGCCAGCAATATTTGTCAACTCAAGTGGTGGTTATCTTGGTGTTTGCTTTTAATTTTTCTTTATGTATCACATTTGTGTCTTATGTACTTTTGTGTTTGTAGGCTATACTTCATAATAAGAAATGTTAAAAAAAAATTTTAAGTACAAATATATTATTCCATCACTTTTGAATCCAGTATTATTGTTGAGAAGTCTCATGTTGCTCTAATTTTTGTTCCTTTGTGGGTAGTTTATTTTTCTGTGTGGAATCTTTTAATAATTTATCTTGCCTTTCTTCTTCAATTTCACTATAGTGTGTCTAGGTATTGATATTTCCTTATATGTCTTGGTACTTTATGGCCCTTTCAATTTCTTTTTG